ATGAATTGGCGCACATATGGCACCATCATAGAAGAGAATAGAAGAAAATAGTTAGATCCACTAACAAGCTACTTAGCCTCACTAAGTCACGCAGTAGAGATTTCATTATAATGGGTAGACAGATGACTGTCGAAAACATACCCGTACTGCATTCTGGTTTTTCTATTGCCCATAAATATCTCTTGGTGACTTATTAGATGACTCAGCAACGTCATAAATGGACCTTGACGACTCATCATGTTGACTCAGTGCCCTTATAATTGCTTTTACATATTTTCTTTGATTTTGCCTCTTATATAGGGGCAAAATTTATTTAATATTTTACTAGAGCATTTTATTTAATTTAGAGCTTTAAAAATTCATCCGCCCATATCATAAACTTTCTTTAATTCTAAAAAAAATTTATGAATTTTCTCATACCATAACACAGCCCGTAGCTATTTCTTTTTAAACTTTTCGTAAAATTCCCCCAGTGGCATAACTAGCTTTTAATTATTCTTAAAGCCATTCTGCTGGCTTTCTGGGATAAGACTAATTTTATAATTTTTTATAAGCTCTTAACTCATAAATCCCTATTTTTACTTACTTTTATGAGATTTTCTCACAACTCAAATAACTAAATCTAGTTGTATACCTCAAAATGAGCTGTTATCTTAAAAATTCCATTAAAGTCATCTCAGGGGTATTTTCATTATTTATCTTCTCAACAAGGCCTTTAAACATCATGTCCCCGTTTCAAGCATGATTTTCATCTTTGTCCTTCTCAGCCCAACACTTTGCAAAATTATAATTTTACCTTTGGTTTGACTTAACCCCATAATTCACCTTATTGAGGCCTCTAACATAACCTTTGGCCTATATTTATCTCCATTTCCCATTTCTGGGCCTCGAGACTTCACTACAGTCTCTAACTTTATTTATATTTTAGTCCCTAGAACTTTCTCATTTTATCACTTAGTCCCTAAAAACCCTTTAACCTTCCTTTTATAGTTTCAAAACTTCAGCTCATAAAGACTCAGTAGCTTGCTCCTTTTAGGCTATTCCTTGCATTCCTAGACTCAAAATTCAGGATGTTACAATAGAGGAAAGAATGAGTAATGGGGACATGTGATTAAAGTTTCTAAACCAATTTTGAGGTGTTACATTTTCTTCGGTGAAAGTTGCAAGTAGATTCTAGAGGTGGAAGTTTGGATTGGTTCAGGCTGAAGGGTTTTCACTTGGCCACTCTGATTCTCGGGTTTTTAATGGTTGACAGCTTAATAGCGGCCCAATGCCGGGCCAATCTGGCGTAACCTTTGGAACAAGTTTTTCACCTGGACGAAGCAAAGGGGTGTCTAGTCAGTGGTTAGGCCCGTCGGACTATCTGGTTTGGTCTAGCTATTTAAACACTGATGGTAGTGACCAGGTTTTAGAACCAACAAATTTTTGTAGGAGCAATATTTTTTATTATTATGTTACTTATTAATATCACTGCACTTTGTGGTAAATGCTGAGAACTAAACAAGCCTATAACAAATAAAATAACATTTATTTGGCATGTTTAGATTTTAATACGTCATTAAATTCTTCTAGTAATTTAAAGGATGAATATTATTTTTTATTATTTTTTAGATCATGCGTTCGGCCTACAAACTGAAGCATTTCAATTTAATTACGGAAATATAACATTGAGTTTTATGAATGATATCTTAACTAAACTTGAGTAAATGTATAAGAAATTAATTAATTTGAAATATCAACGTAACCAATGGATTGTATTTCAGAACATTTACTCATGCCGAATAAATTCTAAATCGTTATAAGATTTCAGGATTTTAAAAGTAATCTCGTGTGTAGTGTGTTTGCCTAAAATGTCTCAAATCTTTTCGGCAGAAATTAGCATGTCTATACAGTGATTTTTTTATAATTGATCATGTATTCTGAACTATTGATATCTAATTAGGAATAAGTCCGTTTTAAACAAATACTCTGTCCTTCATAAAAATTTTTTTTATATACATATATATATATATATATAGTTGTGCAATGTGCACTATTTTGAAAGAGAATGACTCTAAAGTCTTGAAGAAAGAATATGATTATGAAAAAAATGTCAATAACAAGTGAGCAGCGTATAAATTTCATTATCACTTTCTATACCGGAATTTGTCATTCACTTGTTATGAAACACTTTAATAATTATAATTCTTCTTTGAGACTGTATAATAAATTGTACCTATTTTTCACGTCTCATTTTACCATAATTTTTAAAATAATTTTCAAATTTTAAAGCGTAAAATATTCCAATTTCAGTAATAGTGAAAGAAGAAAATAGTAAAACCTGAGTGTAGTTATTACTCCCTCATGTCTTGTATATAAGTTATATTTTTTGGAATTGGACACTTGTTTAAAAATTTAATTCACTTTTTTTATTTTTACCTTCAATTAATTGCATGTCGCTCTTGTATTTTCTCCCACTTATTATCTTTTATCTCTTTTCCCATTCATTTTCTGTCTTACTTACATTCTCTATAAATAATTGTATATTTGAGGAATATAGTCCTACATATTCATTGTCTTTCACCAATTTAAACCAATTTTTTTATTTGCATATAGTTCGGTTATTTATAACTTATATATAGGACAAAAAGAAGTAGCTGTGAATCAGAATATGCAAAGCAGTTCATTACTTTATTCCTTGACAAAACTCGTTGCCCTGTAGGATGGTGCAGTTAGTTGCATAAAGTCGTTGCTCGAGGATGGCACAGTTGGTTGCAATAGGGTAGGGATTAAAAAGGAAAAAAAAAATACTGATTACTTGTTTTTCCCCCCTTGGTTCGAGTGGGATGTATTTCTTTTGGAAAAACTAAAGTAAAAACTAAGTACATGCCAGATAAGACATCTGGCTTTATAGAGCTGTAAGTAGTATTATATATTGAGGTGAACATTACGACTTTTGCAGGAAGCCAAATGAAGTTGGAAGAGAGAACAAGGCATGCAATGCATCATATTTATTCATTACAAAATAGCTAGCATGTTTCAGTTACGACTTTAATCTAAACAAATATATCCACATTACCATATCAATTATTAATATTATGTTTAGTACATGGCTGGAGGCGTTCATTAACAGTGTAATTAAGACTTCACTTGGACTTGGTAAAAGTGTTCAATTTTCAATCTTTTTGTTCACCTGCTGCAAAAAATTATCATATTGGATGGTAGTTTGTTATTCACATCGCTCTCTTTTAAACACACACATGTTCCCATAACCCTTTTATTATTCTGTGCATAGTCTTGAACATTTGATTTTTTTTTTTTAACCTTTTATTATTGAAGACAGTCCCGTTTGAATCACTGTTGGAACAAAAATCTATTATGTTATAATAAGAAACTAACCCATTCTACTAAACTCAATTTCTATTAGTATTCCTTTCACATATTAGTTTATACCAAAAGTAAAATAAAAGCCTAATATTTCCTACTCTCATACTCTCTATCCATCTCAATTGATGAAAAATCATTACTACGTAACAAGGCCTAAGATTTTTATACGTTGATCCCGTACGCTTGCACAAATGATCAATCTGCTTGTAGTGTCCAGGTTTTAAAAATTTTTGCGGGAACAATATTTTTTTGTTTTTAATTATTATGTTGCTTGTTAGGATCAGTGCACGTTGCGGTAAATGCTGAAAAGTAAACAAACGTATAACAAGTCAAATAATAGTTATTTGACATGTTCAAATTTTAATATGTCCAGTAATTTAAATGATGAATTATTTCTTATTATGTTTTAAATCATGCGTTGAGCTTACAAACTGAAGCATTTAGAATATGTACATTTCAATTTAATTACTGAGATACAGTATTGAGTTTCTATAAATGATATCTTAACTAAACTTGAGTAAATATATAAGAAATTAATTAATTTCAAATATCAATGAACCAATGGATTGTATTTCAGAGCATCTAAGCATGCCGAGTAATTTCTAAATCATTATAAGATTTCATGACTTTAAAATAATCCCATGTGTTTACTTAAAATATCTCAAATCTTTTCAGCAGAAATTACTATGTCGATACTGTGATCCTTATAATTGATCGTGTATTCTGTACTATTGTTATCTAATTAGTAAGTTCTCTTAAACAAATGCTCAGTCCTTCGTAAAAATAATTTATATATAAATATGCTGTGCACTGTTTTCAAAGAGAATCACTGTAAAGTGTTGAAGATAGAATATAATTATAAAACAAATCTCAATAACAAGTTAACAGTATATAAATTTTATTATTATTTCATGTACTGTAACTTGTCATTCACTTTTTATAAAACATTTTAATAATTATAATTCTTCTTTGAGACCACATAATAAATTTTCCCCATTTTTGCGTCTCATTTTTTATCATAATTTTTTCAATAATTTTCAAATTTTAAGGCATAAAATATTCCAATTTCAGCGATAGTGAAAGAAGAAAATAGTAAAACATGTGTAGTTTTACTAACTAATTCCTATACACAAGTTAAAGCTTTTGGGATAGGGAAGATCCTTTTAATAAGTTATCCTTTGCACCTGTTTGAAATATCAGTTCAATTTTTTTATTTTTACCCTAATTAACTGCATGTTTCTCTTATCTTTTATTCCACTCATTATTCGTTATCTCTTTTTCCACTCATTTTCTTTCTTACTTGCATTCTCCATAAATAATTGTATATTTGAGAAAAACTATATTTCCTACATAATGATTGTCTTTTACTAATTTTAACCAACTTTTTTATTTACATATAGTTCGGGTATTTGTAAGTTGTGTATAGGACAAAAGGAAGTAGTTGTTAATCAGAATATGCAAAGCAATTTATTACTTTATTCCTCAACAAACTCGTTGCTGGAAGATGGGTGTAGTGAGTTGCATTAGATTAGGGATTAAAACAAAGAAAAAATATTGACAACTCTTTTTTTTTTCCTTTCCTAGTTCGAGTGGGATGGATTTCTTTTGGAAGAACTAAAGTAAAACTAAGTACATAACAAATAAGACGTTTGGCTTTATAGAGCTGTAAATAGTATTATATATTGAGGTGAACATTACAGCTTTTGCAAGAAGCCAAATGAAATTGGAAGAGAGAACAAGGTACGAGGTAAAAGAGAACACACCAGATCATATGATTGAGGTTACAACACAAAGTTGCATGCATCGCATTTATTCTTACAAGATAGCTAGCATGTTTAGTTATTGTCGTACCATTGCTGCTTTTGAAGATAGGCAATTATCTTCTTGTCAACCTGGAAGGCTTTAGCGAGAACATCAGGATTGATGGGAGGATTGGATCCAAACACAGCGTTAGCAATGGTAATAACTCCTGGATTTTGGCTACTTAGACTAGAAAGTGCCACAGCATTGTAATGGCCGATGTTGATTTGAAAGTGAATCATACCAAAGGGAAATATAAACACTTCTCCTTTGTTGAGGATTTTGGTAAAGAAACGGTTGTTGTTTTGATTGGAAGCCACAAACCCAACCATAAGAGTTCCCTCAAGAACAGTCAACACCTCAGTGGCACGAGGGTGAGTGTGGGGAGGATTCAAACCATAGGGTGCATAATCAATACGAGCAAGGGAGATACCAAGAGTGTTGAGTCCTGGGAATTCATTTACAGACACTTGAGTCACCTGGGAGCCCAATGGATTGTTTGTGTTCCCTGGCATTATGTGGAAAAAGAAATCTTCTGCATTCACAAGCTTGGGATCTTTGCAGAATCTCCCGTTCACAAATACTGCACAAAACCAATTCAGTAGAATTACTAATCAATATCCTTATTGGATCTCATAATTAATGCGCATGGTATTGTGTGTGTACGTACCTCCGAGTTTGGTATCATTGACACCCACACAAAAATCTTGCAGAGGGCTGGGGTCATAGGCAGAAGCAAGGGAGCAAGTCAAAGCCAAGAGGGCAATGAGAGAGATAAATACTGAACCTTTTACCATCTTTTCTCAAATCCTTTCTCTAAATTGTGTGTTTCTTGTGACCAAATCCATTTGTTGTCGTCGTCTATTTATAGCTCAAGGGAGCAGCCATCATTGTTGAATTAGTATTCTGTTTTAGTTACCACTTTAATGTAAAAAAATATATCCACATTACCATATCAATTATTGATATTATGTTTAGCACATGGCTGGAGACGTTCATTAACAGTTTAATTAAGACCTCACTTGGACTATTTCATTGATTCCCTACGAGGAGACAACTTATAATTAAGACTTGGTAAAAGTGTTCAATTTTCAATCTTTTTGTTCACCTGCTGCAAAGATTATCATATTAGATGGTGGTTTGTTTATTCGCGTCTCTTTCTCTCTCTTAAACACACCCGCGTTCCCATAACCTTTTTATAATTCTGTGCATAGTTCTGAACATTTGATTTTTTTTTTTTTTAACTTTTCTTCTATTCCTACGTAACGCTATTTATGTTCTCGATCAGTTTTTTCTTTTCTTTTTTGTTCTCTCGCATTCTATGATTCCTAGTACATAATTTAAAATTAGTTTATAACCAATAAGAAAAATCAAGGGAGTGGTTGGTTTGAGAGGCATGGGACCAAAAAAATGTGGAATAGAATAACCAAATCATGAACAATGGAATGACACGGCATCTTAATTCAATACCCCAGGACTCGAGTTTATGGGTCCAATTTTACATGTATACATCATTTTGATTCCTATTATAAGTCATTTGTATTAAAAAAAAATTCTTTCCAATATAAGCCCATTCTAGAGTTGTCAATGGTTATTTTTTCATTTCACCCGTGTTTAATTTATGTTGAAAAGAGCGAAAGAAGAGAGGGGGGTGAGAATGATTTGTAAATATTGAGAGATAAAAAATTTGATAAGGGCAAATTTGAAAAATTGTATCAATTTAATGGATTTATTGGTATGTGAGAGTAAGTTAAAAGTTATCACTTCAGTCCTTTTTAATTGTTACTTGTAGGTGGGATTTTGGTCCTTTTTATTTGTTATTTGTATCCTTTTTAATGCTTCATTACTAATTCTGCTCCTATTAATTAAGGGAGACAAATGTAAAGGTAAAAAGAGAGAGAATAAGTAAGAAAAAATATACTAGCTATTTAATAAAGATAAAAATAAAAGATTTTATGTATTTAATGATTTTCTTGGTGTATGAGAAACTGAGTGATAATTAAAAAGGACCAGAGTGGTATTTATAATAATAGGGATCGGCGTGGTACTCTTTTAGTATGATTTATAAGACACTTGTTTTACTATAATAAAAGAAAAAACTTTAAACCTCATTAATTTTGTCTCAAAGTTTAACAACTTTCTAACTATACTCTTATTTAATATATGCACAATCTAAGAAAATAGCACTCTATACAATAATAAATAAAAAAATAAAATAACATCCATATTAAAAATGTAATAAATAGGACCAGCGAAGTATTCTTTTAGTCCTATTTATAGGACATTTCCATCATATTTTACAAGGACCAAGAGATACCTAAAATTGCATTACCTTTGTAATAAAATATAACAACTTTTATCTTGTATCACTATTCAATATATGTACACACACCTTTCAGGAGAAATAGCAATTCACGTTATAAAAAATAAAAGATAAAATAGTATATTTATACTAAAAATTTAATAATATGACTTATAAATAGGAAAAAAAACATAGTCTTTACCTCATAAACAGGACCAAAGCAGTATATATAGATATTAAGCACAATTATATTTAATGTGGAACTCGTAATATCTAACTAAGTTGTGCTCACACTTTGACATCCTGATAATTAAAAAGATTAATTAATTATATTAAGGCTTCATGATGCGCAAACATTAGTTTTTACTTTAGCCTAATTCGTATTACTACTGAATTATTATTGATTGGCTCTTGCCATTATATACCTCTTTCGTCTTAAGACCATTTGCTTTTTCGTGTCTTTTTCTTTTGAAAAAAAATTGGGCAAGTATTAGGACCATAGATGAAACCTTAAAAGCTGGAATCGCTAGCCACATGCTCAGCGTTAACAATTAACAAAATATTCTAAAAACAACAACAACAAGAATAAATGTAAAAAAAAAAAAAAAGGCTACAGAAAAATAAGTCATCAATATATTTTCCATATGCTTGCAGCGATATCCTAAATTCAAGCACCAAAACTAGGCAAGGCATTATGTAATGAAAATATTTTGGGTGTTACGCAACTGAATGTAAATATATAAATATGCATCGCCTTTTATTGGTTTGTATTATTAGTAAAAGAGATATATGGAACGATTGGTAGGCTTTTGGTCAACACGGTTGCTCATTTTGGTGTTCTTTTCTTTCACACAATTAATGCTTTTAGGTGGATGGTCTTAATCAAAACAAATATATCCATAATACGGTATCAATTATAAATTGAATTAATTAATTTTTTTTATAGTCGGCGAGGGACGCTTAATTAACAACTGCACGACCCGAGGCCCTCTTTTTCCCCCCTTTCTAATTATTAATTATTAATGCCGCATCAGATAGATATACCAAACCTACTCCACCTGCTCCTTTGTTTATTTAGATTCGTTTTTGGCCAACCTTTTGTTTATTTGGATACACTATCATGTTACTATTCATAAATCACTTTCACCATATTTTGTCAAAATAAAAAAATTTTAAATCTTATTAATTATGTCTTAGAATTTAATAAATTTTTAATTTTACTCCTATTTAACATATATATATACACACTTTTCAAGAGCATAACAGTTTACATAATAATTGATGGCAAAAAAAAAAAACAGTTTACATAATAATAAATGAATGTGAGCAGCAAAATTCTATCATTGATATGAAAAATTTGATGATATGACTTAAACTTCATCCAATCCTATTTATAAGCTTCACATTTGAAAAGTGGTATGATCCATTTTATAAACTTCAATTTGGCTTTGTCTTAATATTTAATGCATTTTTTCAATTTTGTCTTAATTATCTATTAACTCTCCTTTGTTATACTCTCTCTGTCTCATCACATTCCTACATTCATTCACTTTTGTCCTTTTTCTCATTTATTATAAGGATATATTTAAAAACAAAAATATATTTTTAACTTATTCATTGCTTGTAATTTATTTTAACTATTTTTTATTCCTAAATTAGTTATTTAAAACTTACAATAATAACTATAGAGAGTAAATATACCCAAAAAAAACTTCTCTGTATAACTTATAAATAGAACCAGAATACTCCATCTCATCTTCTCTAAGCATACAACTTTTTAACCAATCAATTAAACTCCTCTAATCAATGGTACAGCAAATAACTTTTTTTTTTTAACTAAGCAGAGTAATTAATTGGGGCTTCTAAATAAGACAGAAAAGTTAGGAGGCAGTAATAATTGGTACCCAAAAAGAAAAATTAAGGAAAGATTTGAGTTTATTGTTTTCATCGAACTTCAATATCATAATTTGAAATAACTCTTTCTTAAGCAACCAACACTTCTTTAATTTTTAGCCAAATTTGACTCACTCTTCTTTTTGTAATCTAGTATATGATCAATCTTAACATGCTTTTTAATGTCAAAAGTAGCTTGGAAGAGTTTGGTAATTTAGTGCTTTTCGTTACAAAATACGTCACATGTTTTACCTAATTTGCAATTTCAATCATTTGTTAAAATAGTATTAATCGCTCTTCTTCCCTCTTGTTCTAAATGTAAGAGTTAATAAGAAAGTTTATTTTGGTACTAAATATAAAACCTTAATTCAATTTATCTCCCAAATTTATATATTTTCCCATGCTATCCCTATTAAATGATATATTTAAGGGAGTTTTGGAATAATGATAACATGGTTATTTTAAGAAAATCAACAAAAACTTGTTAGAAATAAATGGTTTAACTAATTTCTTAATGTATGTAAATTAGTTATCTAACTTAAACATTTACAAACATTAGCTGAGATAGTATATAATAATATCCTAGTTGTTTCCTTAAACTTTTCATACACAAATGCGGCAATATATTTGAATTTTTCATTTGGAATATTTTCCGGTTTATACCAAAATTATATACTTTTATGCATCAAAATATTTAATTATATTAGGTTTCGGTGTGTTATAACAGACATATTTTTAAAAGCTACTTTCATTCTTTTTTTTTCTTTGTACACGTAGGTATTTTCCTATTGGAGACGATCATATTTTATGCACTGTCAGGCACTAAATGTTGACACATTTCTCAATAAGAATTCGAATCTTATATTGTAATTGTAAAGAACTAGTTTCTTCTGCCAGACTCAACCCTGTTAGTAAAACCTACTTTCATTCTGCCTCTACATCATATATCCTACTTTCATTTCCAATTCCATTTCAATAAAAAGAAACTCTTTCATAGCACTCTCTGTCTTGTGCTTTTTATAAGATTCTTTTAACTAAATTATGTGGTCTAAGAAAACAATTAAAATTTATTAAAAGCCGTAACACCTTAATTTTTTATGCCAGCTAGGTCAATTTATGATAACTTTGAACCACTAAGCTAGGTTTGATCTTGAGAATATAATATTCATGCATAAATTTTCATGTAAACTTATCCTATACACAGGGTTCCATCCTGTATAAAGAATGAGATTTTCTGAAAAATTTAAAACTTTTTTTTAAAAGCTATTTTTCAAAATATCTATTTAGTGATTCAAACTCTCAATTTAATCATTCTCCCCTAATTTGGCATAGTTATTTCAAATCCTCAGCTTTAACATTAATAAAGCATTTCTTAGCTAACCAATTAATACCAGCTATCACCATATTTGCTATTTATTGCTTACGGGCATGATATATGCACTTGCCCTTAACTACCTCATTCAATAATATAGTAAACTAATCTACTACCACATAGCTATCAAAGCAGATGGCACTCATCCGTCAACTTCAAGAGTCATAGCTCCCTCTTTATAGAGGAATTTACATTCCATAGGCTCATATGATTACATATCTACATGTTTATATACACTGAGTGGTAGCCATAATCGGCTGATCAAAAATTATAAGTTCGAACTACAAAAGCATAAACTGATGACCAACTATACAAATTAGTTCTTTGTACAACCTTCTCAATTCCCTGCAATCACCACATGCTTGCCCTTCGAGCCACTTGCCTTTATTGTATGTCATGGAAGGAAAGGGGAGAGATTCTAAGAATCCCAATAGTAATAACAGTCTACCATACATGTATATAAGTTCA